GTACAATGTCATGAATTAGTTTTCTTTTGATTATAAATGAATATAATTTGGATTAAAAAAGGGGGCGGGACAACAGGAAAGCAGCCGTGTTGAGGAATACTGGTAACGCTGCCTGAGGTGTGAGATGTAACGTGACACGAGTGTCATTAATGGTGGAGACTCATGTCATTTTCAGTGACACACCTGTGACTTTGACCACATTTGTGTTTCTGTCAGTCATAAACCTGGACCGCGTGGGAGAACCACACCACGTGCGGCGGCGTTTCCCTCAGTTACCACACCAGCCCTCGTTCCGTGGTCAGGTTCTGTGGGAACCCCACACCCATTGATCGTCCCCCGCCGCCCTGGTGCCTCAACGACAGCCAGCCAAGCATACACAACTGGAAGGAGAAGGAGCGGACGAGAAGAGAAACGTAAGAGACGCACACACAGAAATAAAGACTGAGCCTCAGAGAATATTCTCACACTGACTTCTCTGTTCCAGCCTCAGCTCCTCAGAGCGCCGCTGCCTGCCCCCGTCAGCATCTCAGCATATCAACAGGAGAATACACCTGCAGCCAGACGCACCGTGTCCCTACCGGAGCCGCCCATCACCATCGTCATCATGTTGATCTATCGAAGTCTGGAGCCGCCCTCCCCCCCAAGTACCACACTGACCGGCAGGAGTGAGGTGGGAGCACGCCGCACTCAGAGCAAAAAAACTTGATTTAACAGGCACTACGGCTGGCTTATATAGAAACCTTTTTGTACCCCTGCGGCTGTAGTTCAGCAGTCATAACACTGAAGATACATTAATATCGTCAAGTTTATTTCATAAGAGCTTGTACAAATTCTGTCTGGCACGGTGAAATACAAATTGTAAAGAGTCATTGAAACACAAGGGGAGAACAGAGTAAAAACCATAAACAGAAACATGTAAATAACAAGCACTAAATCACTGAATGAACATGACAACACACTGAAAGGGTTTGGAGAATATAAATGGTGTCCAGATTTGTAAAAAATAAGAGATGGGATTCGTCTAATTTCTAAATGGAACACTGTTTCCATCATTTTTGGACAGCAAGAAAAAAATGCCTTTGTTTTCTGCTTTAATCTGATGAATTAAATGACGAAGATCTTCATTCCGAAAGCAACACAAACACGAGTGTGGTCACATGATTGTACCAACTAGTCTGATCTGTTTGTGTCTTTATTGAAAGTTAAACTATTGACACTGGATCGGGAGTCTGATAGCTCCTGACTCGTCTTGTTCATGTCACGATCCCAGATATTTCAACCTTGGAAGGATCCAAGAGTTACATATGAACAATAATAAGTAGTGGTGTGATATAGTAAACAGAGCTGAATTGTATTAAGAAACAAAGATAAACTCAGGCAGTTTCAAAAGGGTTTATATAATGATAACAGTTATCATGGTCCTGGAGCTCTAGTAAAATAAAATTTCTGACCATCTCTCAGAATTTTTCTCTTTCCAATGATTGGTGAAACAGGAAACTCAAGAAAAATACGATAACTAGAGAAAGTATAAAACGCCGCAAAAACGATGCACTGCTGATGCAGAAGAATTGAAGTTAATACTTCCTGTGAGTTGTAGTGATGAGTTAGCCCCCAGCATCAACCTTGCTCTCTGCCTCAGGCTTCCAGACACCCCGTGATGGAACTCGCTCCGTGTGCCATCGCTCTCCCGTTACAACAACGCAGAACTTTGTGGGCGGACACTTGGACCAGCCCATCTGGCTTGAGTTCAAGCTGCTGGAGACGTCCATCGCAGCAAAGCCACTGTGTGTGGCAGTGGGAACCACAGCAGCCCGTGAGTACAGACACATCACTATCGTACATGTTCATTATCAGGCTAAGAGTTACACTATCTCTCTCTTCCCCCCCCGTACAATTGTCATGAATTATTTCTTTTGATTATAAATGAATATAATTTGGATTAAAAAAGGGGGCGGGACAACAGGAAGCAGCCGTGTTGAGGAATACTGGTAACGCTGCCTGAGGTGTGAGATGTAACGTGACACGAGTGTCATTAAGGTGGAGACGTCATGTTCATGTTCAGTGACACACCTGTGACTTTGACCACATTTGTGTTTCTGTCAGTCATGAACCTGGACCGCGTGGAGAACCACACCCACGTGCGGCGGCGTTTCCCTCGTTACCACACCACCCTGTTCCGTGGTCAGGTTCTGTGGGACCCCTACACCCATGTGATCGTCCCCCCCGCCGCCCTGGTGCCTCAACGACAGCAGCAGCAACACAACTGGAAGGAGAAGGAGCGGACGGAGAGAGAACGTAAGAGACGCACACACAGAAATAAAGACTGAGCCTCAGAGAATATTCTCACACTGACTTCTCTGTTCCAGCCTCAGCTCCTCAGAGCGCCGCTCCTGCCCCCGTCAGCATCTCAGCCAATCAGACAGGAGAATACACCGCAGCCAGACGCACCGTTTCCCTACCGGAGCCGCCCATCACCATCGTCATCATGTTGATCTATCGAAGTCTGGGAGCCGCCCTCCCCCCCAAGTACCACACTGACCGGCGAGGAGTGAGGTGGGAGCACGCCGCACTCAGAGCAATAAAAACTTGATTACAGCAGCTACGGCTCTTATATAGAAACCTGTTTTACCCCTGCGCCTGTTATTCAGCAGCAAACACTGAAGATACATTATATATCGTCAAGTTTATTTCTAGAGCTGAACAAAGTGCTGCACGAGGAAAACAAATGTAAAGAGTCAGTGAAACACAAGGAGAACAGAGTAAATAAACCATAAACAGAAACATGTAAATAACAAGCAGCTAAATCACTGATGAACATGACAACACACTGAAAGGTTGGAGAATATAAATGTGTCCCAGATTTAAAAATAGAGATGGAGATCGTCTGATTTCTAATGGAAACTGGTTCCATCATTTTGGAGCAGCAAGAAAAAATGACTTTGTTTTCTGCTTTAATCTGATGAATAAGACGAGATCTTCATCCTGAACACACACAAACACGATGTGGTCACATGATGACCAACAGGTCTGATCTGTTGTGTCTTTATTGAAAGTTAAACTATTGAACTGATCGGAGGTCTGATAGCTCCTGACTCTTCTGTTCATGTCACGAGTCCAGACTGATTTCAACCTGTGAAGGATCCAATGATGTTTTACATATGAACAATATAATGATTAGTGTGTGATTAGTTGAAACAGAGCTGATTGTATTTTAAGACAAAGATAAACTCAGGCAGTTTCAAAGGGTTTAACATCGAATCTTTAATCGTCTCATGTGACCAGTAAAATAAAATTCTGACCATCTCTCAGAGATTTTCTCTTTTCAATGATGTGAAACAGGAAACTCAGAAAATACTGGAACTAGAGAAAGTTTGATAAACGACTAAAACGATTCACTGCTGATCAGAATTGAAGTTAATTAACTTCCTGTGAGTTTAGTGATGGAGTTAATGGCCCCAGCATCACCTTGCTCTCTGCCTCAGGCTTCCCAGACACCCCGTGATGAACTCGCCCGTGGTCACGCTCTCCGTCTACAACAACCAGACGTTTGTGGGCGGACACTTGGACCAGCCCATCCTGCTGGAGTTCAAGCTGCTGGAGACGGCCAATCGCAGCAAGCCACTGTGTGTGCAGTGGAACCACAGCAGCCCGTGAGTACAGACACACACACGTACATGTTCATTATCACCTAGAGTTACACTATATTAACAATATGTATAAGGCTTTATGTTTTATTCTATCTATCTATCTGCCCCCCCCCCGCAGGTATGAGCCAGGAGGCTGTTGGACGGTGAGGGACTGTGTCGTGGTCTACAGGAACACGTCTCATGTCCGCTGTCAGTGTCAGAGACTGGGGACGTTCGGTGTGCTGATGGACAGTTCACAGAGAGAGGTCAGTGACCCTCACACACCTTTATCATCATTCAATCAAGTGGATTAACTTCACATTCACTATCAGCTGTTAATGTTATGGATTAATATCAGCGTGTTGTTTGTCATTGGACCGTCTCAGCTGTAGTTACTGGATTTAGAGAGAGTGAAATCCTGACTGACGTCCTGCAGACTGAGGGAAGACGTGATTCATTCAAACAAATAAATAAATCAGAAACAAGAAAGATTGAGGGATCAGAAACCTGGAGCCGTTTTTCTTCAGCATCATCAGTCCGTCACAGAGAGGAGGAGAGACGCTGCAGATTGATAAGTCTCCTGGAGTGTGTTGTGTTTACTGGCAGCTGATGCTTCTGTGCACAGACTGACGAACACGCAGATCAGGAGCGCCCTGTGTGACATCACACCTGATGGTTATTTGTAGATATTGATGTTGATATTGATGAAGCTCCTCACGGTCGGTGCAGCTGTAGTTTCCAGATGATTGAACATGGTGATGTGAATATGATCCCAGACTTTTTCATCTTTTACTGAATTTGTCTCCCTCCTTCCCTCCCCTCACATTTTACTTTTTCATCTGCTCCACCTAAATGATGATAACACCCCCCCCCTCTCTCTCCACCCCCCACCCGACCCCCACCCCCTCTCTCCTCTGTGAGCAGCAGCTGGAGGGAGACCTGGAGACGCTGGCTCTGGTCACGTACTCCTCCCTGTGCGTCTCCATGCTGGCCCTCCTCCTCACCGTCCTGGTGCTCTCCTGCCTCCGAGGCCTCAAGTCCAACACCAGGAGCATCCACTCTAACACAGCGGCGGCCATGTTCCTGTCGGAGCTGGTGTTCCTGCTCGGGGTCAACCAGACTGAACAGCAGGTCAGTGGTAGTGATGCCTCTCTGTCCTCCGGCTCACAGCTCTTTCTGGATGAGCAGATATTTAGCTTGTGGCCTGATTTGTGCAGACGTAGAGACGTTCACCTTCAGACTCACTGTAGAACACCATACATCCTGCGTCTCTGGTGCAGCTCTAACAGACAGAACGTGTAGGGGACGATGAGAGAGAGATCAGCACACACTGTGAGAGCTGTGGATACGACACACTGCAGTTTTACCTTCTGGATCTCGGGTCTTTTTTCTGAATGACACGTTGTGTTTATTGTTTAAAAAGTCAATGACAGATTGATTAACACACCCGCCTGTTTCCAGTGTTGAAGTAACTCAGGTCTAACCGTCAGAAGTCACTGTTGATCAGCGTCTCTTTCCTCCTGCTGCTGATCCACAAAAATATTCTAAATGTGCTTCATGAGTGGTTCGGCCATTCGTCCGGAAGATGAAATTAAATATTTTCTATTAAGATAAATTTCAAATTAAGAAGAACTTGTTCCAGGTTTGTTTCTTTTATGATGAGAAGTGTTTCACTGGTTCCCGCTCTGCCCTCATTCTCTAGAGCAGCGTGATAAACTCTCCTGCAGGATGGTTGGTGTGTTTTTATTCCTTCCTCCTCACTTCACATCATCTTCTTTCCTTTCTCTCTTTCTTCCTCCGTCTGTTTTGTTACATCATAATTAAGTGTGTGTGTTTAAGGAGCAGAGTCTTGTAAATATGTGCTCACTCAGCATGAAATCTAATTAATGAAGCAGGATCCCCTCACAGTGGACTGTGACTCTGACCGGTTTCTCCTCGCTCAACAGTAGGTTCTAACTCATGTGCATCATGTAGAGCTGTGTGTGTGTGTGTGTGTGTAAACTCAGCGTCTGGTTGTATTGCTGCCAAGGCTGCAGCTATTTCTGTGTTGTGAGGAATCTGCACTGAGCTTCTTTTAACCTTGAAATCTGGGACATTCCTCAACTTAAAGATGTTGAACGCACACACACACACACACACACACACACACACACACACACACACACTCAGCTGTGTGTTTCTGCATGAAGCCTGAGACAGAAGTGTTTAGATCTCGCTGCTCTGCTTCAGTCATGTTTTTATTCTGTTTTCTTTGGTGCAAACTGAAGTGGAAAAGTTTAATTTGACATGTTACTGTATTTAATATGTGTAAATATTATTATATTTATTGAAGTCATCAGGTGTAACCACAAGTAGAGATGTTCCGACACCATGCTGTCCGTCCTAATATCATCACGTCACCTGAGGTGGTGTACTGGCCGACACACAGAACCAGTGTGATCCATACACAGCTGTGTACTGCCTCAGTATGATGTGACAGTTGAGTGGTTCAGGTTAAACCCTGTAAAACATGAACAAAGACGTGAGTTCCATAGAATCTTTCTTTTATTATCTAATTTAACTGTCAATCATAAAAGATAAAGAACTAATTCACATTTAAAAAGCTTTATTGTTCAAGAAGAAGAAGAAGAAGACATGAAGCCAAACACAACAGTAACATGTAACACTCCGACATGTTGCTAACGGCTAATCAGTTCTTCTTCTCTGCTCTAAAACAGCAGTTTCCAGTGGCTGCAAGCACGACTTCCCCATGAGAACTGCTGTTTCATCTTATCTGTTTATCTGGGGGTGAAACCATAAAGTTTATTAATGAATGACATGGTATCTGATCGGTGCATAGACTCAAGACCTCATACTGTGTTTTCATCAGTATTGGAACAAGGTGAACTACAGGTGAACCCACGCTGCGACCTGAAGACAGGAAGTCATGTCTGAGAGCAGCTGGTTTAAACTGGTGTTTGTATTTGATAAGAACACATAAACTACAAATGGACCAATCACAGCAGACTGCTGTTTGTTCTCTTGATTTAGTTAAACGTGATATTCCAAGCATGACTCTGAAAACAGACGTCTCATTTGAGTCCTGTGTTTCCAGGCTGTTTCCTGTGGTGGCTTTAGATTCTGTCAAACAGCACCAGGCGTCTCTCTGAGGACGTTCAGATGTGCAGCTGCTGTAATTCACAGCCACTTGAGTTTGAGTGACATATCTCTCATCCGGCCAAACAAACAAACAGAGTTCAAATCCTCGTCTCCAGGCTGCTGCAGTGCAGCCTGAGGGTGATTTCACAGAAAGCTTAAATGCTAAGACTCTGAATTAAGGCAGCACTGACTCCAACCAAACAGCTGCTCTTCATGAGAGCTTCTCCTGCTCTGGATTCGCTCCTGACGACTGTCAAACCTGACAAAGATGACACCAATAACACTGATGTGACGTCACCCGATGGTTCATGCAGCGTCACTAAACACAAAGTTCTCCATCTGCATCAGATGTTTAATAAATGTCTGTATCACAGACACAGAAACACTATTTAGCAGTTCATTACATTAAACACATGATCGTCAGATTCACGAGGAGAGTTCAGGTTTATTCAGCGTTTCTTTAGTGTGTGTGTTCATTAAACGTGTGTGTGACAGCGTGGGAACATCATGTGCCTCATTAACTGTTTTGAAGATGAAATTAAATATTTTTCATTAAGATAAATTACAAATTATGTTGCAACAATATCAGATCATTTGAATCAAAACAAGAATAACAAACAATCGAAGTTTACACTCTTGAGTTTCTGCTGTCCCACAACAGACTGATATCTACAGACCACACAGAGACGTTCATCTGACACACACACACACACACACACAGACGGCTGTGGAAACACCTGTGGGGGCAGGTACCTTCCTGTACTGATGGAGGTATCAGTTGTAATCACACTCCTGGGTTATTACTGTCATTCAGCACATTAGCAACAGGCTCTTAAATTCATATCAGTAGTTTAGTGTGTTTCCTGGAGATATCCTGTAACACGCTGGAATTCACTCTGTTCATTAGTCGTGTTGTTAATTAGCTCCTGAGTGACATCACTGCTGACAGTCACATGATCAAGTTTCTACCTCTCTCCTGCACCTTCATCCTTTCATGGCTGCATTTCTCTCTAAATCTCTCCATCTCTCTCTCTTCTTCTTCTTCTCTCCCTCCAGTTTCTGTGCACCGTCGTCGCCATCCTGCTTCATTACTTCTTCATGTCCACCTTCGCCTGGATGTTCGTGGAGGGTCTTCATATCTACCGCATGCAGACGGAGCAGCGCAACATCAACTACGGAGCCATGAGGTTCTACTACGCCATCGGCTGGGGCGTTCCCGCCATTATTACAGGTGACACACACACACACACGTCAACACAGTCACAGACATGGAGACACATAAGGTTTCTTTGAAATGTTGGTAGAGACGTGTCTGTACATCGACGTCAAAACACACACACACACACACACACACACACACTCTCACACACACACACACATCCACAGTGAGTCTGGCTGTGTAGATAAGGTGTCCTATTGACACTTGAATTAAACAGGTTTCAGTGACATTTTAATGTGGAGATAGTAAAACACACACACACACTGGCTCACAGGTGTGTTTATCTGTCCGTCTGTATTTGGGTTTTTCCATTTCTTGTCACTTTTGCAATTCAATTTAAAAAATGTTTAAATCCTCGACCGTCACCTTGACAGTGTTCGTCCAAACAAGGACACACAAGGACTTTTGACAGATCTCCTAGCAACCATGTCTGATCTGGTCTGGTCTGGTCTGATCTGGTCTGGTCTGGTCTGGTCTGATCTGGTCTGGTCTGGTCTGGTCTGGTCTGATCTGGTCTGGTCTGGTCTGGTCTGGTCTGATCTGATCTGGTCTGATCTGGTCTGGTCTGATCTGATCTGGTCTGGTCTGGTCTGGTCTGGTCTGGTCTGGTCTGGTCTGGTCTGGTCTGGTCTGGTCTGGTCTGGTCTGGTCTGGTCTGGTCTGGTCTGGTCTGGTCTGGTCTGGTCTGGTCTGGTCTGGTCTGGTCTGGTCTGGTCTGGTCTGGTCTGGTCTGGTCTGGTCTGGTCTGGTCTGGTCTGGTCTGGTCTGGTCTGGTCTGGTCTGGTCTGGTCTGGTCTGGTCTGGTCTGGTCTGGTCTGGTCTGGTCTGGTCTGGTCTGGTCTGGTCTGGTCTGGTCTGATCTGATCTGGTCTGGTCTGGTCTGGTCTGGTCTGGTCTGGTCTGGTCTGGTCTGGTCTGGTCTGGTCTGGTCTGGTCTGGTCTGGTCTGGTCTGGTCTGGTCTGGTCTGTCTCCTTGCTGCAGGTCTTGCTGTGGGCCTGGACCCAGAGGGTTACGGGAACCCAGACTTCTGTTGGATCTCCATCTACGACAAACTCATCTGGAGCTTCGCTGGTCCGATCGCCATCGTCATACTGGTAACTTCCTGTCTGTCACAACACGCCGTGGTTAATCCTGTAAAACACCTTCATTCAAACAGCAGCTTCCAGGCTGGAAACACATCAACAACAGAACATTAAAAACACTTGAATAAATAGAAATATTAAATACATAAAAGACCTGCAGCAGATTAAAAGATGATGTGTACGTGATTTATTGATAAGCTGCAGTGAACAGTGATGTTTCAGTCCCTGATCTAACTGAGCTGACAGTCTGAGCAGATCTCAGGTGTTCCAGGGAGCGATCTGCTATCACAGGTGAGGAGCAGAGAAACTAACAGCTGCTTCACCTGCTCCTGATTCTGGGAACACTGAGTGAAGCTGACCCAGATCACCTGAGGGGTCCGGATGTGTTCAGACCAGAGACCTTTAGGTCTTTACAGACCAGGAGGAGGATTTTAAAATCTGTTTGCACGTAGAAAATAAGAATATAAAATGAAGCGTGATGTGATGGAGACTGTTTGATATCATCACATGATATAATCAGATAGTGAAACTGTGTAAACTTGTTTCGTGTTCCCTCCTCCTTCCCACATTAACACACGACCTCCTCCTCAGTGACGAATGGCAGCTCTCCAGACGAATGTCACGAAGACGCCCCCTTGAACTCTTCACTGTAATTCTAATTACATCACGCTAAGACCCGTCACTGTGCAACCGCAGCATCTCAGACACAACATGTGCCGGGGTTAAAATCCTGATGAATAATTACACAGCAGAGGATTTACACACTATTTCCTTTCTCTTTCATCCTGCTGTTCTGTTGCTTCTTCTCTATTCATTCATTCATTCATTCATTCATTCATTCATCCTGCATTTTTCTTTTTTCACTCTGATTTATTTTCATAGAAACTAAAGAACTGAAACAGAATGAAAGAGATTAACTTTTTCCTTTGACTTTTTCATCCTCATTGATTTAGTGTCATCTTCATCCTGATGTTGCTAACGGCAATGTCAGTGTTGGATCAGCTGAAGGGCATTAAAGATGTTGCCTCACCGTTTGTATTGATCTGCTCTCTCCAGATGAACGGGGGGATATTCATGATCGTAGCCAAGATGTCCTGCAACCCGTCGCAGAAGGAGACCAAGAAGCTTCCTGTCATGTGAGTACAGGACGGTTCTGTCAGCTGATTCCCATCGCGTGATGTCACATGATGTCTTTTATGACTCGTCACATGATGCTGTGTAAAGATCTCTTTTTAAAAACACCAGAATTCTGTCTTTGAAGTCTGTGGTCTAATATTGTGTGTGTGTATATATATATATATATATATAAAATGATATAATGTGATTTAATATGAAGATAATCTGTCTGCACCACAGACACAGTCGAGTCAATCATCCTGGTTTGTTGTATAGCGTTACTCTGACGTTTCAATAAACTTATGATACGTTACGATAATCTTTATTGATCCCACTCAGAGAAACTGAAGTGTTACCACTGCAAAATACTCTATAATAATAATAATAATAATAATAATAATAATTGTTATTATTATTGTTATTATTATAATAAACTTTATTTGTAGAGCACCTTTCATACAAGAACTGCAGCCCAACGTGCTTCACATGAGAAGACATAAAACAATGTAAAATGAGATGAAATAAATAAATCTGCGTCACTCTTTATAATATGTTTTTATACTGTTTCTGTTTATTGAACAATTCTACTTAGTGTAAAAACAGCGAAAATGAACAGAAATGAATCATGAAAATAAAATAAAAGAACTTTACACCAAACATGAAAAAAGAGTTTGAAGTTTAAATGTGTAAACAAACACTTTTATTTATTCCTTTTATCAGATCGTGTTTTAACTTCTTCACTGAGCATCACAAACCATGGGGAGCGTAGTGCTGATAATGATTTGTGAACGAACAGGGAACAAATCTGTCTCACTCATCAACTATGATCATGTTATTGATCAGATCGACACAGAGACGTCTGTGTTCTTCCTCTGGTTTTATCTGCTGCTCTCACTTCCTGGTAGAGTGACATCACAGACTCGTCCCGGTGAATCCAGATCTAACCTCCCTCTCTCTCTGTCTCTCTCTCTCTGTCTCTCTGTCTCTCTCCCTCTCTCTCTCTCTCTCCCTCTCTCTCTCCCTCTCTCTCTCTCCAGTGCTACCATCCGTAATGCCTTCCTGCTGCTGCTGGTTGCCACCTCCACCTGGCTGTGTGGCCTCATGGCTGTGAACAACAGCATCCTGGCTTTCTACTACATCTTTGACGTCCTGTGCCTCGTGCAGGTGTGACCAGCTCTGTGTTTGTGGCAGTAGTAGAACTAATCCACTGAATAAATACATTCGGGTTATTTCCAACTCTAATTCAAACAGTATCCAGCTGATTGATGATTTTACTTATTTTATTTTTTACACATAAGATGAAATATCCTTTATTGGTCTCACAGTGGGGAATGTGCAGAATGACAGCGGCAAAGTGTCAAGAAAGAAAACTGCAAGATGACAATATCAAATACTATAATAATAATATAATATATGTACAATAGATATGTAAATATAACATAAGATATGTCAACATTACTCCCTGTGTACCTGTGACAGTGTTATGTTTGGACACGTGGTCGTGTGAAGATCTTGTAGATTAAAACCTTAAACTCCATCGTTCTCTCTCTCTCTCTGTGTCCCTCTGCCTCTCTCGACCGCCCTCTCTCAGGGTCTGTCGGTGATGCTGGTCTTCACTGTGTTTAACTCGGAGGTCCAGGAGGCCTGGAGAGTGGCCTGTCTGGGTAAGAAGAGTCCTGGAGAAGACCCACCCAGACCTCCTCAGGGCACAGTGAGTCCCACACACACAGCCGGTCTCGTCTGGTTCGGTTCGTCCTCACCACAGACTCATTTACACTGCAGTCATTAAAAACACCATGTAAAATAAAGACTCACTGGTTTTCATCATGGACATGAGCTGTGACATTACAGGGTGAATCTGACTCTGATGTGAGGATGTAAATCAACTCACTGCCTGGTCCTGAAGGCATTTACTATGTTTTATTCTGCTCCAGCATCCTCACTGTGTCCATTACTAGACAGCACAAAAGCCCTCCTGCCCTCCATTACTCCTCCCCTCCATCCATCCATCTCTGCTCTCCTCCCTCTCTCCTCCTGCCTTCAGGCTCTGACCCAGTTAGAACAATACACGACCAGTGCAGCCCACTTCTACCAGAGCTGTGTGTGTGTGTGTGTGTGTGTGTGTGTGTGTGTGTGTGTGTGTGTGTGTTAGTTCATAGCTCACTGCCCTTCGAACCCTTGTTTTCTTTAGCTTCCCTTTTTTAAAAACACTCCTCACCTACACTACCTCTCCTCTGTACTCGTGTGTGTGTGTGTGTGTGTGTGTGTTTGTGTTAGTACATACATAGTTGTTTCCACCCTTTTAACCTCCATTCCCTCCAAAGCTCTTCATCCATCACTGAGTCAGCTGAGCCAAAATGACTGTAACACACCAGAACTATTATCACACACACACACACACACACACACACACACACACACACACACAGTTCTTACTCTGATGGGCTGTGTGTAGAAGTGACCACCTGATACCATCTGTATGATGTTGGTCTGACACAGTCCAGAGAGCTGGACTCTTCAGTTAGCTGCTGCTCCACTGGCCGAGCCTCCGTCTGGTTATTTTCAGATCAACAAATATACACTAATATAATATAATGTCTATCTTCCTGTTGTTTTTGAACGTCAACAGAAACATTAATATGTGTTTGTTTATGTGACAACATTCATACATTTTACCCAGTGACAGTAGGAGTAAAGAGGAGAGAGTGGAACAAGGTACAGATCACCTGATTCACTCTTTACCTGCTCAGTTTAGTCCTTAGCCCACCTGAGAGGAAGCCACTCCCCCTGACACACTCACCTGAGAGGAAGCCACTCCCCCTGACACACTCACCTGAGAGGAAGCCGCTCCCTCTGACACTGTTTAAACACTGTTTAATAAAAAAAACATTTTTTTAATATGACTTGATTATTTTAGTGACAGCTGTGTCTGCTCTGTAGTTCAACTCTTCAGACTTCAGTCGTATTTATTGTGTCTGTGTAGACGTTTTTCATGCTAATGTTTTAGCTGTAAGGTAAGCTAACACACACACACACACACACACACACACACACACACTAACTATGTAAAGTTTTTGTCATAATCTTTATATTTTAATGTCAGAACTCACCAGGTCTCTGAGGTGAACTGTCACATTTCCCTCCTTGTGTTTGAGCCACAGACATGTTGAGTTTGTGTCACAGAGAAACACCTTCACCGTCTGATATCAGACACATGGAACCAGTTTGTAATCAATTAACAAACTGGTTTAAAAGAAACAGACAGAAATGTTACAACCATCCCCGTCTCCCTCTCCTCACCTCAGCATGTGTATGAATCTATGGAGAGAGAGAGGTGTTCTCCTTCCCACTCAAAACATTTATTTTGAAATCTTAAAAAGTTCCTATCTCTTCAAAATATCAATAATCAGTGTGTGTGTGTGTGTGTGTGTGTGTGTGTGTGTGTGTGTGTGTGTGTGCGCGTGTGTTTGTGTGTGTGTGTGTTAAGGCTCAGAATCCATATCATAATGCATCTCTGCTGGAGCAGAGCGGGCTGCACCGCATCACCCTGGGAACCTCCACCATCTCCTCCGTCAGCTCGGCCAGGTATATGAACACACACACACACACACACTGTCTATAAATGAAAGTGGATTGAAAACCTCCAGATTAATAATAAATTCGTTTGGTTTTAAACTAACTGTATGAAAATATAAATGATTAATATTGAGTGAATGATAAAAACCAGTAACTCATCATTCAAAGAGAAATCTGTCACGTCTCATTGATTCTCTCTGTGATGAGACCAAGTTGCTTCAGGCAGGAAATTCCCTTCAAAATAAAACCATGTCGTGTGTTTAGTGGGTCAGTGGGATAAAGATGAAGAAGATCTGATGGAACAATGTTCTGAACTGAAAGTAGAACAACACTAATGTAAGAGTGGTGTCTTTATGGCTCAGTGACTCTGTGTGTGTGTGTGTGTGTGTGTGTGTGTGTGTGTGTGTGTGTGTGTGTGTGTGTGTGTGTGTGTGTGTGTCTGTCTGTCTGTCTGTCTGTGTGTGTGTGCGTGTCTGTCTGTCTGTCTGTCTGTCTGTGTGCGTGTCTGTCTGTCTGTCTGTCTGTCTGTCTGTCTGCGTGCGTGTGCACTCATCATTCTCCTCTTTCCTCTTCAGAGAAAATCTTTTGGCTCGTCAAACTCTGGAACAAAACATCGTCCACACTGGAGCCACGGACCTGGATGTAGCCATGTTCCACAGAGACGGAGGTACACACACACACACACACACACACACACACACACACACACACTAGTGACACATCCTCCATTTCCTTTTCTTTTCCTCTTGTCTCTCTCTTTCTCTCTCTCTCTCTCTCTCTCTGTCTCTCTGTCTCTCTCTCCTCCAGGTGAGGACTCGGACTCGGACTCAGACCTCTCCATGGAGGAGGAGCGCAGTCTCTCCATCCCGTCCTCTGAGAGCGAGGACAACGTGCGACTCCGTGGACGCATCCAGCGGCGATTCAAACGTTCCAACCACAGCGAGCGTCTGCTCACAGAGCCCGCCCACAACGGCACCAAAGGTAGACGAGCGCCTCACATGATCCTCCTCTCACAGTTAAAAACACATTAACACCTGAACAGAGAGCATGATGGGTAATGAAGCTGTAACCTCTGACATATGGGATGTTCCCATCAGAGGTCACATGTGTGCGGGGGGGGGGGCACAGGAGGAAATGTCAGTGCCAGTCCTCATTAATCACTAATCAATACCTGACATCATGCATCATATATGAGTTTATGCACCTTGAAGCATGCGATGTAAATGTCATGCATATACAGTGTTCAGTGAAACGTTTCACTGTGAGAAAAGGCCAGACATGCAAATCTATAAATCAATAAAAGTAATCAATACCTAGTTTAATAAGCCATCTGATCACATGACCTCTGCTCAGAGTGAAACTGATTGGACCGGAGCAGGACAGGATCAAGACGGCCAGTTAAGTACAATCAATTCATCAAACTGAAAGGTTTTGTAAAGAGCGGGCTTTATACTGAAAGGTCACAGTCTGAAGAACTTCCTGTGGTTCAAACATTAAACTCTTCGAGGAGAGAGAAGAAGAAGGGCTTCCCTGTCTATAGATAAATCCTGAACTGATCACTGTTATTGATCCTTGTGTTTTTAACCATGTGATGTTTGATGTGGAGGTGAGTTCATCTTTGAGGAATAAATCATGTTACTCTCCTGAAGTGAAACAGTGAATCAGTGAAACAGTGAATCAGTGAAACTGTGAATCAGTGAAACTGAAACTGTGAATAAGTGAAACTGAATCAGTGAATAAGTGAAACAGTGAATCAGTGAAACTGAAACTGAATAAGTGAAACTGTGAAACAGTGAATAAGTGAAACTGTGAATAAGTGAAACTGTGAATCAGTGAAACTGAAACTGAATAAGTGAAACTGTGAAACAGTGAATAAGTGAAAATGTGAATCAGTGAAACTGAATCAGTGAAACAGTGAATCAGTGAAACAGTGAATCAGTGAAACAGTGAATCAATGGAACAGTGAATCAGTGAAACAGTGAATCGGTGAATCAGTGAATCAGTGAATCAGTGAATCAATGGAACAGAGAATCGGTGAAACGGTGAATCGGTGAATCAGTGAAACAGTGAATCGGTGAATCAGTGAATCAATGGAACAGAGAATCGGTGAATCAGTGAATCAGTGAATCGGTGAATCAGTGAGAGCCGTTAGTGGTTGAACATCATCAGTGTCGCTGAGCGTTTTATCACTGAATTAATCTGTTGATACTTCAACCTTCGTTAATTAGAAGATTTATATTGTGAATTCAATCTGAGGGTCTGAGATTTATTTTTTATTTTTACAAAGATTAATTGAAAAAATAATTGATTGATTAATTGATAATGGGAGGAATCTTTAGTTACAGCGTTGTGAAGCTCTGTGTAAATGAAATATAAATAAAGATTAATACCTACCTATGTATGAGTCTCTGTTCAAACCATGAATTTCACCTGTTCTCAGGTAGGTGACCTGCACCGTGAGCACGTGTCACCTGTCGTCTCACACCTGCTGTTTGATGCAGACGTGTTCGTGTTCATGACGATGCAGAAACAAACTGGAGGGAAAATTAAAAAGATGAATATGAGGCATAAGAACAGGTTTTTATAACTGGTGTTTGCTTTAATGAAAGTCTCCTTTGAAAGAATCATAAGTCATCGGTTGATGAAGTCTTCGCCTGATGTGAGAGGATGTGGTGCATGCTGGGAAAGTTTCACCCCATGTTTTCTCCCTGAAACTGAAGTTAAACTCCAGGAAATGTTTTTATGTGTGTGTGTCAGATCTGGACGGAAACGACCTTTTGTCCTACTGGCCAGCGCTGGAGGAGTGTGACACACACACCCTGCAGAAGTGGGGCTCGGAGCGCCCCCTGGGGGCAGATTACAGCAAGGACGCTGCCAACAACAACCAGCTGGATGCAGCGCTGACCAGTGGAGACGAGAACGGCCTCACGCAGCCGCACAGACACCGCAAGGGTGAGAGAAACACACGCCAGCTAAAGACACTTTAAGCTAGATTACCCCTCCTCTTTGTTTTATTCATCATCAGTCGCAGCGTTCGGGTTTTTTAAACCTTGGATTTTAAATGTTAGTTTAATGGATACTGAATATGAAATATAACTTTAAGGAAATCAGATAATAAACATAGAAATGTTTAGAGATTCTGAAACAATGTAGTTTCAATAATTAACAGACTCTTATGAATATCTGTCTGATGTGACTGTTACATGTGAATCTTTGAGGGCTCCAATCAAACACAATCTCTCTGCACATCAGCGTCTGGCCTGAACACTAGATATTCATGATCTTATTATCCATCTCCTGGAGAACCAAAGCCTCCAGACGTCATCTCTGACGCATCACGGTCATCAGGGTGAAATCTGCCTTTAGCCCAGAGGAAGATGGAGACGTCAGCTGAGTCAGCATCATTTAAAACACAGACCTCACCCTCTGTGAAACATTTGAATTGTCTCAGAGCAGCGACCTCTGATCACACATGAAGAGTCACAGACATCAGATATCACAGATCTCACTGCAGTTATTTGTTTTTGTTTTACTTTAACAATTTCAGTTCTTGTTACTAGTTGTAGTTACCACATGCAGAGTTACTGTGGAGAACAGAACATGATTGTCTGAAGTCAATGTCAGGCTGCATCCACATTTTAATTTTAATATGGCGACTAACACCTGAAAACACACATCACATGACCATCACCTACACTGAGCATGTGCGAGCCGGTGTAAACAGGAAGTAGATTGTCTCCTCTGCAGTAAATCCTCTGAAGGAGGAACAGCAGAGACAGTTGTAGCATTAAAACAGAATGTAAGTGAACAGCAGCTGCAAAGACAACAAGGTCAGTGACACTGTCCTTCATTATCATGTTGTATTCACCACTGGTAGTCCAGGCTGAGGAGAGCCAATCAGGAGAGGCTGTGGGGGTGACCTCATCGTTTACAGAGGTCTTAGTTTCTGCCCAGACTACAACACAACCCCAGAGTTTTCAAAATAAAACACAACCCCAGAGTTTTCAAAATAAAACACAATCCCAGAGTTTTCAAAATAAAACACAATCTCAGAGTTTTCAAAATAAAATGGGCCCAACAGATTTTCTGAAAGTCCCTGTTCAGGGCTCCATCACTGTAGTGAGGACGGAGGAGCCTCAGAACCGCGAGTCACTCTCTGATCATGACACTGAAACAACAGTGTGGAGCTTCAGTCTAAATGTGGCCCTGAAAGCATGTGTGACACATTTATAGACACAGTACAGCACATATACTCAGAATACATGCATATACAATTAGCATGTACACACACACACACACACACACACACACACACACACACACACACACACACTCTGAGACTGAGAGAGGCAGGAAAAGATGGAGATCACTCATGTAGCCTGAAAGCATGGGAACATATTAACACACAAAACACATGTATATGCATCTACACACACACACACACACACACACAGAATATAGTGTGTGTTTTAGTTGTCTCCCTCAGGACTGTCAGATCACTCAGATGGTGTTTTGATTCATGAAATGTTAACAGTGAATGTAGAACGACCTAAAAATGTCATTAATGAGAACACATCTCTCTCCTGCTCTCACCCCCCCACTGCTTTTCCACTTTCAACCTCCCACCTCTTCCCTTTTTTCTCTCCTGTTTGCTCTCTGATCATCCTGATCCTTCCTCTCTCCTCCTCATGTCCATCTTCTCTTCTTGCAGGGATCCTGAAGAACCGTCTGGGCTGTCCTCCGGCGCTCCAGGGTCTCTCCACCATGGGCCGAGTCCCCAGTGAGCTCAACTGGTACAGAACCTCTACTCTGGGCCACCGAGGCGTTCCCGCCGCCTCCTACGGTCGGATGTATTCTGCCACAGCGGGCGCCAGCGGAGGAACCGGTTCTCTGTCTCAGCCGGCGTCCCGCTACTCCTCCAGGGAGCACCTGGACTCTCTGGCCCGGAGGCAGCTGTCCCGGGATCCACTAGGTAGGCAGACGGTGGGGGGGTCGAGGGACCGGCTGGACTCCCGGGGCTCCAGGGACAACCTTGATCTCTTACCCAGGAGGAGAGAGCTGGGGCTGGGGGGCCTGGGCCTGGAGCACCAGCGAGTCTCTTCATCCAGGGAGAACTTGACAGGATCCAGGGACAGACTGGACAACCACCACACCGGCAGCGTCCACGCCTCAAGGGAGGACTTGAGCGGCGCTGTGGGGGCGGGCATGGAGGGGGGGTACCTCAGCGGGTCCAGGTCGCAGCTCAACACGCTGACTCGGCGGCACGCCTCGTCCCGGGAGCACCTGGCGGGGGCGATGATGAGCAGCAGGTCGAGGGAGCAGCTGGACACCAACGGAGGGGGGGCTCAGGCTCAGCCGTGTCGGGAGTGGCTACGCACTCTGCCCCCCCGCCAGCCCTCACACCCCGACCAGCCCCCCTCCTCCTCTCCTCCTCCTCCCATCTCGGAGGAGCCCCAGCAGGAGCATCTCCCTCCCTCGGCTCACGTCAGAGGTCGACTGGACTCCGCCCCCCCGTGTAGGTACCCAGGTCAGACTGCCCCCCCCCTGGGCCGACAGCCGTCGAGTGAACACCTGGACATCCTGTCCTCCATCCTGGCTTCCTTCAATTCCTCTGTCCTCACTCCTCCCCCTGCCGCCTCTAACCCCGGGCCTAATGGCTCCGCCCACGGACCCTCCCCCTCCCCGCCACAGTCCGCCACCTCCCACAGCATATCTGAAGTGTCCCCAGACTCTGAGTAAGTCTCACCCTCCTCCTGTCCCTTCATGGTTTAATGTCCCTCTGTCTTCATCCTCTATACACACTTTCCTTCCTCTTCCTCCTCCTCCTCTTCCTCCTCCTCTTTGTCTTCCTTCTCCTCTTCCTCCTCTTCCTCTTCCTCCTCCTCCTCTTCCTCATCCTCTTCGTCTTCCTCCTCCTCTTCGTCTTCCTCCTCCTCTTCCTCCTCCTCTTCGTCTTCCTCCTCCTCTTCCTCCTCCTCCTCAGCATCGTGTCCTCCGTTCAGCTCGTTCCTCTTCTGTCTCTCTTAAAGGGCCAGTTGTGGTTGTTAGTCGTGGGGTTGTGTGAGGTGTTCATGTTCAGTCGGTGTGTTTCCTGCAGTAGAGTCAGTTTCGAGGAGCAGCAGGAGGACCGCTGCACTAGCAGAGTGATGAGCTGCTGTGGGCGGGGCCAGCAGAAAACACCTGGTTTAGACACTTTTAAAAGACGCCAGTGAAACAAACCAACATCTGTTCAATTGAAGCTTCATGTAGAAGATTTTCATCTTCATCTTCCTGGTGAAACAGAACTTTCCTTTGGCACTACATTTTCTCAGCCACTGAACTACTGTATTCCTACGCACAAGCGCACCTACAGAGCGCACTGTAATACGCCGCAGCCTCAGGTCAGCTGACTGAATCAGGAAGTGGCCCCGCCCACAGCAGGTCACCACTCTGCTGGTGTTCCCTGCTGCCTCTCCGACCTGAAGTAACACACTGATAGATCTCTTTTGATCAATATTGAGATCAGGATTATTGAACACGGTTACTCATTGACTTTGGAAACACCACGCTTTTATTGGACTTTTAAAAAAACTAAAACTTTAAAGTAATTAACTTTAAAGTAAGTAAGTTATTTAACTAGTCAGATAGTTGGTCGTGAAGCTGACATCAAGATAAAAAACATAAAATAAAAAACAGATTTTAAAACAAAGTGTGTGTAATTTTCAGTTAAAGATATCTGAGCCAACAGGACGAGGTCGCTCCAGATGTTATAAAGAAGTCTCTGAACCGATGTCGCTAACGTACGCCGGAGCATAACCAGGAAGTGGATGGAGAATGGTTTCTGTAGGAGGATCAAATTTGTGTCCTTAACTGTACATGACTACCTCACACAACCACAACTACCACTGTGGAGCTCCTCAGCTCCTTCAGTTCCACTTCCTTCTTGTCTCCTGTCTTCATCTTTCTTCTCTCTCTGTCCTGATTCTGTGGGTCTGAGTTCACACCGGTAGAAACGTCTCTGTATGAACTCAGTAACGTCTCCTTCTCCTCTCCTTCACCTCAGAGCCAACAGAAGTGAAGGACAGTCTTGATGACAGCCTCCGTTTCCCTTTATGCATTGTGACAGTGCTTGGTGCACCGGGGACAAAGTCAAAGGTCACGGATGACCCTGAACCACTGGGGTGTCCTGAGACATCGGAGGACTGGAGACAAACTGAGGACAGAGAGGACGTCTGTCTGTGGGCAGGTTGGACTGTATAAATAAAGTTTTTTGGAGCCCGCAGTGACCTGTGACCTTTCTCTGGGCGATGAGTCATCACCTCGACGACCTACAAACACAAACTCCTCAGATTTATTCTCCAGCGTCAGTCTGACCCGTCTGAGAGAAAAAAGACTGTAAATAACATTTTTATACATTTTCTATCTTTTTCATTGGAGATGAAGAAGAAATCTCTTGTGATGTCTCTTGTTTTTACTGATTGTGTCCATGTGAGGTTGTGAGTGAGGGTGGTGTGAGTGCAGTCCTGTCTGTTACTGAGGGAGAGCCCCCCCCCCCCAAACAAAGAAAAACAGTCAATCCTGAAGCTTCTCCCTGAGAACAGTTTCCCTCTGCCCCGTCGCCTGGACGGCATCAGGCCGGCATCAGGCCGGCATCAGGCCGGCATCAGGCCAGCAGTGATTCTGATGAGATTATCAGGGTGGTGGGAGGGAGAGACGACAGCAGTGAGCAGAGATTGTAAATAGAGGAAGGATTATAATGAGAGAGGAGGTTGATGGGAGGAGATGAGTGAAGCTAAACACCACATGAACGTTCACAGGTGTGACAGTGTGAGCAGGTGGTGTGTCATGTGACCCTCTGTATATGAATGTGACCCGTTCATGTGTCTGTCTTTGTGCCTGGTGCTGAACATGAACATATCAGTCCACTGATATCACAACAACATGTCTGCCGTGTTCTGGAGGCGGACGTGTGTCTGCCTCTCTGTAAGAGGCTGTTTCCGGTGACACCACTTGACCTGCCTCAAGAAACGCCGCAGGAGCCGCCGCCGCAGGAGCCGCCGCCGCAGGAGCCGCCGCCTCGCTGGCAGCATCCAGGAGTCTCGTTTCTACAATTCAAGCCAAAGGGACAGCTGCTTCAAACCAGTACGAGACGCCATGTTCTCCAGTTCTCTGTGATGGAGTTGTGCAGGGTGTGAACGCTGTAGATGTAACTCAGTTTTCTTTTACTCATGACGTTTCATTCCACCGCTCCGGTGACAGTCAGAGCGGCAGCCATTTTGTTTTCAGGTTGTACGTCTGTCTCGTTCACGTGGACACGACATCTCAGTAACTTCAAATTTGGCACAAACATTCACCAGGACTCAAGGATGAAATTATAACATTTTGGTGGTCAGAGGTCAAAGGTCGAGGTCGTGTTTTGGCCTTGTGATTACGATATCTCAAGAACTCCTCGAGGAAATCGCTTCAAATTTAACACAAACATTCACCAGGACTCGAGGACGAGCTGATTAGATTTTGGTGGTCAAAGGTCAAAGGTCAAGGTCAGTGAATGCAAAACACTTTTTAGCCATTACTCAAGACTTCACACAGAAATTCTGACAAAATATTTTCCTTGACTGGATAAACAGATGTGACCTGGAAGTCTGAGAGGAGGAGGGATACGACCACGAGGAGGTGATAATAGTTTTATTTAATGATTGTGCCGTGGAAACGTGGAGCAGAGCAGATCAGAGGGAAGGCGTGATCATCTCTCAGTGTGCAGGTCATATCCAGCAGGTATCTACCTGAAGTTATCAGCACCTGAATCCCACTGACTCAGTCACATCAGAATTATATTCTTTATACATGAGACATTTGTGAGGAAAGAGAGCGAGCTGTAAATCTGTAGGTCCCGACTTTGATCCAGCGTCAGCCGTCATGAAGGCAGAGTCCACACCGTCAGCACAGATTTGCTCTCATTGTTAGGATTGCTGTTCAAAGGCGAGGTCCCATGATCCGGCTCAGCTTCTGCAGCAGTTTCAGAGGAGACGAGATGTCAGTTGTGTCAGCGCTAAAAGCCTCTAAGTGGCTTTGAGATGCAAGTTGTTCCATCAGCAGCTGCTCCTCTCACAGCTGCTGGAGCGAGCGCCGAGTTGATGCCTTTAGGTAACGACACACGGGAGGGGGCGGGCGGCCCTCACCAGCCTTCACACGGATGAAGACGTCGTGAATAACTTAGATGTTTTTTGTAATGAAAAAATGCAGCGGGTTAAAAAACTGAAGGAAAGATGAGGTTTTCCATGGTCTGAGTTTCCTCGAGCAGAGAGACTGACAGTCAGAAAATACTGTTAATGACAATAATCACATGAGAACAGCAGGAGAGGAAGAGAGTCTGAAACTACGTGAGGTTTAGAGGAAGAAATGAGGTCAGAAACGGTGACTGAGGAGGAAGGTGGGATGTTACTCGTCATCACAGAGAAATAAAGAAATAAACAGGGAGCTGATGAGATGTATTGAGTGGACGTGAACACACACATCACACACACATCACACACCTCGCTCTGAGCTGCTTTATCGTTCCCGTGGACCGGGGACGTGACAAACGAACCCATGTGTGACAGTATTGTTGCCAAATCGTGGTCCTGCTGGGTAACGCTGCCTCTTTTAAAGGAGCAGTCCACCTTAAACAATCCAACACTGATTCCCTCTTACTCTTTCATTTCCGTTTAGTCTTTTCACAGAACCATTTTTCTTCAACCGACGAAACCTTTAACTTGTACAGACATGAGATTTATTTTATCCATTGATCATTTATTGACATTGTATTGATTATTTATGTTGCCATTTTGTACGAGAGGCTGTTGAAGAAGTATTTGTAATTTTGTTTTGTTGTTCAAATGTTCCTTTTGTTTAAATGTGACGTCTCTTCTGCTCTCGAGTCTCTCGCTGAAACAAACTCACAGATGGAGGAAAAGAGAAAAAGAGAAAAGATGAAAATGTTAATTTATCCTCAACAGGACACTGAGCTTTTACACATTTAAACATAAGCAGAATACAAAGTTATTAACTTGATTGTCTGGAATAATCTTCATTAGGTCCATTGATCCTCTCCAGACTGAACACGTGAACATATCTATGCTAAAGGTTAATACTGGGTGTTATAGTGCAGTTATATTCCAAATCAAAGCTTTCTTCTCCCTGTCCACTTTTATACATCCCAGGCTGAAGCTTCACAAGCACAAAATCAGATTATTAACCAGTAATTGAGCTGCTTCTACAGGACAGACTTCAGCTTCAGCTTCATCTGGTTTGGACCAACAACAGAAAGACGGAGCTGAGACTCAGACGCTGTGATGAGCTCAGAAAAAAGAAGCAGAGTGAGAGAGCGAGACGGAGAGAGGAGGAGGAGGAGGGAGATTGTCTTTGTTAGCTTGTGTGTTAATTATGGGATGCCTTCTATCCCGCCGTTGGCAAGGGGACGGCGGCATGGAAACAGCTGTTCCCCTGTTACCGCTTAAACGAGAGAAATGTTGGACATTAAAAAAATGACTTATTCCTACAAGACGCGTGTGTTTACATTTATTCTTTGTGTGTGTGTTCATATATTATCATTATTATTATTATTATTATTATTACTAATGAGCCTCTGACATAACATGTAACATAATTACATCTTTTCACCAGTGTTTTGTAAATGATTTGTGGGTCCAGCCCTGCAGCAGGCCCCGGGCCACAGGTTGGGAACCGCAGAATTAGAGCATTCACTTGTGATGGTTGAGGTGTTTGGGAATGCATTATGTCAATGACAGGTCCCGACAAATACAGGTGTACAAGGATGAGTGTGTGTTGCTGTCTGATATTCATGAGCAGATGTGTTCAGGTGCAGAGGAAACATCCTGACAGACACGTTTTTCTGGAAGGTTTTCTCTCCGTTTTCTTTTAACTCAAAGTTCTGTCATTCTGAGCTGAACTGAGATGTTCAGCTGTCTCCTTGATTCCCAGCAGGAAGTGTGAGCTGCTGACAGCAGCACCGGCTGAGACTGAACATCCATCAGCCCTTAAACGAACCTGGAAACAGGCTTAAACATAATCTGGTCAGAGGCACGAGACACGTTTAAACAGGTACAACTCAAAATGAATGTTGGCTTTGAAACACAGGTGAAAGCAGGAAGTTGACTTTGAAGTTAGATGAGGACTTCGATATAACTCCATGTCTGTGCGTTGACTATGGAGCTGGAGCTAAGAGGTGCTTAGCTTAGCTTAGTTTAGCATAAAGACTGAAAGCCGGTGGGAACAGCTAGCCTGACTGTCCAAAGTTCAGAAACACATCTACCAGCACTGTGAAGCTCAGGTGTGCGTCCCCATGTCATTCCCAGCAGGGTATTGACTCTAAAGCTAGCTTGACTTCCGGTCGCTGTATCTATCGTTTCTGTCACTTTCGCGGGTGTGACCGTGTCCCGTTGATGAACGAGCTAGTCCAAAGGTCCTCTGTTCACTCGCTAGTCAAACATGCGGCAGTTTAATTCGGGAGTTTGCGCATGCGCATTGAGGATAACCTACCGTTCTGAGATCTGTTACGATATTTTAGCGTCATACGCATGCGCAGACGCGGCATTAAGCGTTAAGAGGCAGCAGCAGGAAGTAAACAGCTAATGACGCTGAGTTATCCTCTCTGTGTGAGATCTGCTGTAAGTTAGAGACAGAATATTGCTACAGGAGTAGAGCAGCTGCTTTCAGGAATAGATCAGTACGTAGAGAGAGAGAGAGATGAGCTAGTTAGTTAGCAGTGTAGTTGTGAACTTCCGGCTGTTTGTCAGTTAATAAATGTTAAGACTCCTCGAGACTGAAGTTCCCGCGTCTCCTCTGAGCTTCAGCTACACTCCAGACTGTGAGCCAGGAAGATGAACAACACTGAGGCAGGTAAATACAGATTCTACACTGTCACTGTGTCGTTGTCAGTTAATGGTAAATATGATGAAGATTATCATAGAAGTGATTTGGGATATTCTTCCTCTGTACTGCTCATCTGATGTTTACTGTCAGTTCAGAAGAAGAATCCTTCTCCTTCCTCAGACAGGAAGGAGAAGGAGGTGAAGGAGAAGGAGAAGGAGGTGAAGGAGAAGGATGAAAAGCTGAAGGTGGAGGAGAAGGAGGAGGTGAAGAAGGTGAAGAAGAAGAAGGTTGAGGAGAAGGAGGAGGAGAAGGTGAAGGAGGAGGAAGAGAAGGTGAAGGAGGAAGAGAAGGAGGAGGAAGAGAAGGAGGAGGAGGAAAAGGTGAAGGAGAAGGTGGAGGAGAAGGTGAAGGAGGAAGAGAAGGAGGAGGAGGAGAAGGAGGAGGAGGAAAAGGTGAAGGAGAAGGGGGAGGAGAAGGTGAAGGAGGAAGAGAAGGTGAAGGAGGAGGAGAAGGAGAAGGGGAAGGTGAAGGAGGAGGAGAAGGGGAAGGTGAAGGAGAAGGAGAAGGTGAAGGTGAAGGAGGAAGAGAAGGAGGAGGAAGAGAAGGAGGAGGAGGACAAGGTGAAGGAGAAGGTGGAGGAGAAGGTGAAGGAGGAGGAGAAGGTGAAGGAGAAGGTGAAGGAGGAGGAGGAGGTGAAGGTGAAGGTGACGGAGGAGGTGAAGGTGAAGGAGAAGGTGAAGGAGAAGGGGAAGGAGGAGGGGAAGGTGAAGGAGAAGGTGAAGGAGAAGGTGAAGGAGGAGAAGGAGAAGGATGAAAAGCTGAAGGTGGAGGAGAAGGAGGAGGTGAAGGTGAAGGAGGAAGAGAAGGAGGAGGAGAAGGTGAAGGAGGAGGTGAAGGAGGAGGAGAAGGTGAAGGAGGAGGAGAAGGTGAAGGAGGAAGAGAAGGAGGAGGAAGAGAAGGAGGAGGAGAAGGTGAAGGAGAAGGTGAAGGAGGAGGAGAAGGTGAAGGAGAAGGTGAAGGAGGAGGAGGAGGAGGAGAAGGTGAAGGAGGAGGAGGAGAAGGAGGAGGAGGAGGAGGTGAAGGAGAAGGTGAAGGTGAAGGAGGAGGTGAAGGAGAAGGTGAAGGAGGAGGAGGAGGTGAAGGTGAAGGTGAAGGTGAAGGAGGAGGAGAAGGAGGAGGAGGAGGTGAAGGAGGAGGAGAAGGTGAAGGAGAAGGTGAAGGAGAAGGTGAAGGTGAAGGTGAAGGAGGAGAAGGAGGAGGAGGAGTCCAGACAGAGCAGAAGATGGAGGAGAGAGTCAGAGAGATTTTGGGGGGTTGTTTTACTATAAAGCCTAAAATAGTGTGTGTGGAAAACACAGTTCTGTAGAGCTCTGTGTTGTGTTGGCCTGGGGCTGTTTTCCTGGTTTGGTCTAAGCCCTTTAGTTCCTGTGAAACATCACAGTTATATTCTAGTATTATAGAGTGTGTCAGCAGACTGGAGAAGGCCCTGACGAGGAGCTCTGACTCCATCACCTGTGGGATCAACACCAGCCTGTAATATTAATGCCAACATACTTCTGGCCGTGTAGTGTATGTTTCTCCACTCATTTTTTCAGGTGTTTTCTTTGATTTGTACCCAACGCAAATTTATTTACAAAGCAAAAACAGATCAAACATACGTACTCGTGTTAGCATGCAAGACGTCTGTAAAGACTCCATGTAGAAAATGTCACTGTCTCTATCTGCAGTGATCAGATCTGATCTCAGTGCAGCTTTAAAACAGACTCTGGCCTCTAGAGAAACATCATCTTACACATCAGTGAACAGCCTGTGATTTAATGATCAATGACAGATAAAACTAAACGTGATTTTGATCATTTCACACGGTTCATTTCTACAAGATGTGCAAAGTAACTCATTACTACTACTTGTGTTCCAGAGCATTTCCATGTAGTTTTAATTAACCTTTTGGGTTAATTACCTCCCAGTTTTCACCTGTGTTTGTTGGTTTGTTTGTCAACAGGATATGTAATCCTGTTGACAAACAAAAGTACTGAACCGAGTTGCACCTGAGCTGGAGGGAGGGGGAGGAGCTGGTTGAAGAGGTGGATCCAGGATTTTTTGACATGTTTCTCAGGAAATAATGTTTGAATCTTCATGAAAAAATCCGACATCTTTATGGAGTTGATCATTATCTGGATCTGCACCAAGATCCAGATAATGATCCAGATGATGATCTACCTCAGAAGGTCATCGTCATGTTCCTTATTCAGCCTCATTCATTCACTCATTTTCTCTCTGTGTAAAAACAGCTGATTTAAAGCAGCTGAGAAACTTCCCTCTGCATTCAAGTACAAAAACCATGTATAAAAATAGCAACAGTTCCATGACATGTAGAGAAAAGAGACACAAGTGAAACAAACACTAATAAAAACACAAGTTAAATCAGTTCATCCTGTGGGATCAGAGGCTTTCTCCTCTTCATCGCTGCTGCTGGAGGAAGACGGCGGCACGTCCTCGCCCATCCTCTTTAACTTGGCTTTGTAGTACGCCTTCTTCATCCTGAAGGCCTTCTCCTTCTGCCGGGCCGCTCTCCTCTTCTCCCTCACCAGCTCCTGCTCCCAGGCCAGAACCTTCATCCTGTTCTCCCACTCCAGGATCTTCATCTGCTGCTGCTGCTCCAGAGCCTGAGTCCTCTGCTGCTGCTCCAGACTCGACAGCTCCACGGAGTCGTGCTGGACCGAGCGGCGGCCGGCGTCTTCCGCCTCGCTGCCTGATGAGTGGAGACGATGGCTGATGAGCCTGGAGGTTCCTGCGGGGTCAAAGTTCAAACAGGTCAGTGAAGGGAACTTTGCTTTTTTCCTTTAATTTGAATAAACAACGTGTAGAGATCAGCTGTTTACATGAAAGGTTCTTAATTAACAACTGATCTTGATTGACATCAATATTTAACGACACAATGTTCACTGTGTTTCTAGGCAACGGACACTGGACAGGTGGCAGAGCTTTATCTGTGGGTACCTGGAGCTGTGAAGTAGGCAGAGGGAAAAGCCACATCCTGTAGCTCGGCATTGTGGGAGGTGGAGTTTGAAGTGGGGCTGTGGTGCAGCTCTGACCAGTCGCTGCCTGTTATTCTGTCCAAGGCGTCACGCTGGAGGCAGACGGCCACTTGCTCCTTGGTGTCTTCACTCTGAGGAGGAACAGAGTGAGTTCAGGGGTCGTTTCATGCTGGTGCAACATTTCTTACATTAATGTTGAGTTATGAATCTTAATCCATCACCAGGAGCTGCTGCAGGTTTATCATCATGCTGTTCTTTGGTTTAAATATATAAATATCAAATGAATATAAACCATAATGAGTACTTTGATATTTACCTGAGTGATGGTGCCGTTCATCTGCCCAGCAGCATTTATCATCATCAGATTTCCTGCTGAGGGGACAGACACAGGGAGGGGCTGCAGGTTAATGCAGTTTAATAAAATGAGCAGAGAGCGCCTCCCTCTGGTGGGGCCAGGTACAACATCACCTTCACAGATGCTGCACATTGTTCAGCGTGTTCTTGTGGATAACACCAAATGCAACTGTTCAGAGTTTGTAAGTAATGAGATATCCGTCTGCATGTGAAGGAGACATGGATTTATTCAGGGCTGTAAATCTTTACTCAAACAATGAGAAAATCCACGTCAGTCTCAGATTTACCGTCAGTGAAGAAGTTTCAGGTTGAGTTTTGTAAATAAAATTTAGAAATCCTTCTCTTTACATTCACATTTTACACTTTGAAACTACTTTCAAGGATGATTTCATCCTTTTCCAGGAGAGTTTCTTTCCAAGTCGAACTGTTTGAATTGAACATGCTTCAGTGCAGCAGAACAGACAGTGTTTAGTTCTGATGGCAGCAGGTCTGCAGCCTGATGAAGCACAATTACTAGAAATCCCTCAAAAGGTTTTAGTAAATGACAAAAAACCAAATGGCTTCATTATTACTATTAAACTGTTTCACTGGAAACTGCAGGAAACTTTCATATTTTATCTAAATATGATTTTGTGACTGTGTATTAGTATTATTATTATTATCTTAGATATTTTTTCTTCTCTACTCTCTGTGTTCTTTGTGTATTTGATGTTGAATTGCTTCATGTGGATGTTTTCAATGACTGGTTGAAATGAAGGGGCTTCCATCCTCTCCTGTACTATCTCTATATGTTTTATTATATATCTTTTTACTGTGTAATATCTCACTGAAACTGCTGTGCAAATAAATTAAACTAAAAACTAAATTAAACTTTTCCATCACAGTTCTGACTTGACTTTTTAAAGGTCTAACAACATGTAGAGCTCAGAGTAAGTGATACAGGATTATTATTATTACTGTGGATCACTACTGTAAACTGACTATACTACACTGCAAGGTGCGTTTATTGTTGTCATGCAGAAATCTAATATATGCACATTAAGAACACTCAGAAAAGGTGTGGCTGAGGACCTGGGACAGATGTTTCAAACAGCTGTTGGAGGTAAATTAACTGCAGCATCACAGCCCACAGAGGAGCCAGCTGTGCAGTATCTCATACACTCATACTCAGTGTGTGTGTGTCTGTCCGTGCTTTTTTCACTGTTACCTTCCACTAGCTTGCGGACCGCCGCTTTGTGGCCAGCTCCCCCTGCGTGGCTGGTGAGAGCAGCCTCGCCCATGGTCTGGAGTTTGATAGATTTACAACAGGCCCGACACCTGGCGAAGTGAATGTCCTGCACATCCTTCAGCAGCCAGTCCTTGTAAATGTCCTTGGAGAGCCAGGAGTCCTGGAATTTACATTTTCCAGGCATAGTTAGCTACGAAGTTAGCAGCTCCGCTACTAACGGACAGCCTCTTACCTTCTCCTGCCTCCTGATGCGTTCACGGTCCACCCGGAAGATCCAGATACATCTTGTTCCACTGGCATTTTGATGGAAATGACTATATTTTCACATAAAGTTAGGAAATCTAAAGGTCCATCTACTAGAACTACTTCGTTTGACGTCTGTTATTTTTAGATAATACTAAAAAGAACTGAAAACGGTGACAAAGTGTAGGAAAATCACAATTGTGTATAGTAAATAAGTAAAGGAATATTGCTATATATAATACTATAGTAAAGAAATTAAAACATATTTTTGTATTAAGAAAAATGGCAACGACAGTTAAAGAAATGAACCAGTAAACAAAGTGGTTAGACTATGAGACACGTTAAAATCAAATTTATTATTTACAGAAAAATTTGAAGGCAGCACAACTCAACGTTGGTCGGTAACGTCTGTCGTTCCCTCCAATAGAAACACGGCCAGCCTTTTCTCTAACCAATCAGCAGCGAGAAATCCGGCGGTGCCGCCTGATTGGTTTAAACTACGGAAGACAAAGCGGAAACACATGTGTTCCAGGTTTCTGGTCGTGGATGTGAAATAAAGATGATTTCATGAAGATTAGAAACACGTTTCTTCAGCGTTTGAGTTGTTGTGTGAGTAAATACTGTAGCGACATTAACGCTGTTACTGTTCTTCACTCTTTACGTTTGTTTTATAAATAACTGGAGAACAGAAGGCTGCTACTCGGTTGTTTTGCTAACGGAGGCTAACGGAGGCTAACGGTGACCGGACTCAACACGTGTGGAACAGGTGTTTGTTGTGACTGATTATTTTTCATGCAGCTGTGATCATGTGCTGAGGTTTTGGCTCATCGTTCAGACATGCAGACAGCAGCTCTGGTGGCTCCTGTCACGGCTCTGGAGTTCCTGCAGGAGGAGTTTCTCCTGACAGGTAGGTGGCGCTGTTTCAAACCTACACAGTCACTGTCCTGCTGATCAGCTCTGTTGTGACTAATGCAGATATTTATTTTACACACAATTGAAGAAACCAGTCACTGCTACATCTGTTTGTTTCAATGTAGACACATTGATACACACTGAACTAGATTATTTGATGGCTCTGTCCTGGCAGGTGAGGGTCCAGTCTTGACCGTGTACAGGCTTCAGCCTCACCCTGAAGCCGGCGCCTCACTGAGCGTGCTCCAACACCACAGAGTCCATGGAATAAGACCCAGAGGTCAGAGCTGCGCCACAGGCGCCGGCAGGAAGAACAAACATGGTTGGTACAAACACATGTTGTTTTCACTTGTCAGCGAGGTTATTTTTCTCTTTTCTCTTTATTATTATTTATTTGTAATCGACAGAAGTGAGTGAAATCAGACTTAGATAGACAGACGAGCCTTAGGAGAAGGAAATGTTTATCACAGTTTAGTGATCTGCTGGATTGATTAGTAATAACCATGAAACAAATGGAAGAACTCCTTTGAATTTAAATACTTCAGGTATGTATAAACCTCAGGTGACAGGAATATTATCTGTAGTGTTGGTAAAGAGTTTATTTTTGTCTTTATTCACTAAATCCCTTCTCGTCCGTCAGCTCAGTCCCCAGGACGGAGCTCCACCACAGAGCCCAGCTCCTATGACCTGGCAGTGTTTGGAGGAAAGGCAGTGAGGCTGGTGAGGCTCCATGTGGATCTCCAGGATGAGGACCACCTGCACTTGGAGGTCCAGGGTCCCCTCATGGAGTTAGGGGACTGGGTCCTGGATGTCCGCTGGCTCTCTGGAGGCAAACAGCCACTTCTGTGTGTGGCAGTGGCCCACAACAGTGCTCTTCTCCTGGACATCAGTACAGGAGCTGCCCTGGTTCAGCGCTCCTGTCAGGAGGGGTGTCTGCTCTACTCTGCCCTCCTTCTAGTCCATGAATCTTGGGCGGATGCTGTTGTAGTAGGAGGGACTGTTTTCAACCAGCTGGTTCTCTGGAAGCCTGGAGGAGGAGCAGGAGCAGGAGGAGGAGGAGGAGCAGGAGCAGGAGCAGGAGCAGGAGGAGGAGGAGGAGGGGGGAGTGACTCTGACTGTCAAGCTCCAGTGGAGAGGCGTCTGCTGGGACACAGTGGGGTCATCTTCAGCATCTCTTACCTCCAGGAGAAAGGATGGCTGGCTTCAGCCTCTGATGACCGCAGTGTGAGGGTGTGGGGGGTCGGTGCTTTAGGGGGCCCTGGGGGGAGGTGTGGGGACCGGAACCCGGCTTGTTTAAGGGTCCTGTATGGACACCAGGCCAGGGTGTTCTCCGTGCGTCTCTCCCCGGGGAAAGTGTTCAGTGCCGGGGAAGATGGGGCTTGTTTAGTCTGGGACTGGGCCGGAGGAGGGAAGGTGGTTCGGACGTTGAAGGGACACAGAGCAGGGGGGGTGCGAGCACTGGCAGTCAGTGAGGCAACAGGAGATGAGGAGAGATGGGTGGCCACAGGGGGGGCAGATGGGGGGGTGAGGTTGTGGAGAGTGAAGGAGAGTGAGGGAAGGAAGGAGGAGACGGAGGAAGCAGTGACAGAGAAGATAACTGACCTGAACTTCCCTGGGCTCAGTGCTCCTAAAGTGATGTGTGGAGCAGCAGCAGAGGATGGAGACAGCAGCTGGAGCCAGAGGAGGTTTGTGGTCTGTACTGACCAGGGGGAAGTCTATCAGTACAGCACAGGGCAGTGGGAGATGGTGTGGCGAGGGACGTCTGAGTTTCAGTCCTACTGTGTGATGGAAACAGTTTCCATCAGAGCCACAGACTCAGCAGTCAGAGTGAGTTTGTGTGCTGTGGGAAACCTCAGCGGCTCCGTTCAGGTGTTTCCCGTCTCTCGGCCTCAGTGTGGGATTCTCCTCTCGGCTGGATCAGGGAAGATCCACAGTCTGATCTGGCAGGAGGGAGGAGGAGGTGTGTGTTTGTTGGCGTCAGGTGCTGAAGGACTCGTGTATCGCTGGTGTGTGGAGGTCACATCACATGACTCCTTAACTCTCAGTGTAAATCCTCTTCCTCCTTTCCTCCTTCCCCCTTCTGCCAAACGCTGGCTGCTGGCCGCGGTGCGCCTCCACTCCAGGCCGCAGGAGGCGCTGTGGGTCTGTGGGGACAGGAGGGGGTCTCTGCTTTTGTTTAAGGAAGTTGGACAGAAGAAGAAGGGAGACGACAGTTTGTTGACGGGCAGGGAACGAAGTGAAGAGGAGGAAGATGGAAGTGATGGAGATGGAAGAAGAAAGATGGCGGAGCAGCGAGAGAGTAAAGACGTGCTGCGGCCACTGAGCTGCCTGTTCGGGGTTCATGGGAAACAGGGAGTGACGTCGCTGAGTGAACACAGAGGACTGCTGTACAGCAGCGGCAGGGACGGCTGTGTGAGAGTCTTCAGAGTGGAACCTGAAGAACCTGAAGAACCTGGAGAGACAGAAGAGAAGAGAGAGCGGCTGCAGCTGCAGGTTCTGAGAGTCCAGCGGGCCTGCAGAGGGATGGAGTGGCTGGAGCGAGTTCTGATTCTTGAAGAGGAGGAAGAGGAGGAAGAGGAGGGCAGAGAGGAAGGTGACAACCAGGCCAGAGAAGCCAGGATCGTCATCGCTGGTTTCCACTCTGTCCACTTCGTGGTCTGGGACCCGGTGAGGCAGGAGAGGCTGCTGGCGGTGCCTTGTGGGGGGGGGCATCGCTCCTGGATCCTCTGGCCGTCCAGCAGAGGGGTGTGGCCTGGATACGGAGCTCTGGTCTTCATCAAGCACAGGGCTGTCCTGGCTTCACAGCCCCCAGGAGAGGAGCCGAGCCGGGCGGGGAGGGCAGGAAGGACCGGAGGGTGGGGCCTGAGAGAGGGCATCCATGGGAGGGGGGTAGGGTGTGTGTGCAGGCTGGGGAGGATAGAGGGAGCTGGGAGTGAGAGGAGGGAGGAGCGGAGAGGGGGAGGGCAGTGGGAGGTGGTGGTTACTGGGGGGGAGGACACCAGTTTAACCATCGTGGCCGTTCATCCCGCCTCTGGCTGCGTCAGGGTCCTCTCAGTTATCAACGACCACATCTCCAGCGTCCGGACCGTCGCCTCGGTAACAGAGGGACACAGCGTTAACCAATCGCAGTCTCTCTCCGCCCTGCTCGTCTCAGCCGGCGGCCGGGCTCAGCTGCAGTGTTACCGGCTTCTGATTGGCTGGGACCGGCAGAGACTGGCCCCCTCCTGTCAGGTGATCCAGGTGGCCGCTCACCGATTGGACGAACAGTGGGAGAGGAAGCGGAACCGACACAAGACGGTGAAGATGGATCCAGAGACGAGGCGAGTGGCTGTTCTCTCCTCACACCTTTATCATCTGAGTTTACAGTTCTGTATGTCCAGAGAAGAGGTTTCCTCTGCTTCACCCTTCATCCACCCTCATTAGAAACCTACACACTGTGTGATGCAACTCCTCAGCATCATCCATCTCTTGTTATTATTATTGTATATAGTTATTGTATTTATTCTTGAGTCACAACGATGTTTTTAACCAGCCTGTGGAGCCAAAGGTGAATTTTTACATTGGTGGACAATAAAGATTATTATTATATATTTTTATTGGTTTATTATTGGTATTATTATTATTGTTATAATAATAATTATTATTATTGTTATCATTAATGTTATTATTATTATTATTATTATTATTATTATTGTTATTATTATTATTAGTGTGATTATTATTATTATTATCATTAATATTATTATTATTATTATCATTATTATTGTTATTATTATTATTATTGTTATTATTATTATTATTATTAGCCTACAGGCTGCAGATAAGAGGTTTCTACAGTTAAAGGAATGAGCCCTGGCCTGTTTCCTGTGTGTGTTCAGGTACATGTCTGTGGTGGTGTTGGGTCAGAGGACAGACTCTGTTCTTCTGGCTCTGGGCTGCAGTGACGGAGCTGTCAGGTTGGTGCACTCACCTGTTCTCCACAGCAGGAGAAGAGATGATAAATGTTAGAATATAAAAACACTATGTCTTCCAGCTGTTCTAAACAAGGTTATCGTAGTTTGGGATTTGTCATTTTTATTTTGTTTTGACGTTTTGTTTTTTTAATTTCAGTTTATTTTATTTATGTACTTCATTTTTATTTGGTGAGACAAGACAAAGACAAGGAGGGTAATATAACAGGATATAACATGACAGCTTTTGTTATTGTTGTCATATTCTGACTTATTGAGAGAAAAGAAAAGAAAAATGAAAAGAACATTTTCAGTTTAGTTTTAATAGGTTTTAAAGCAGCTTTGCTCATTTAGTTTAGTTTTATTTTTTTTTAAATAGTTTTTTAAACACACGACACACTTTCACTTAGTTTTTATAAATCCTCATTTTTATTTCTGTCTCAGTTAAAATGTTTTTGTCCTTTCATTAGCTTTAGTTAATGATAATAACTCTTCTTCAGCAGTGACGCTTTGAACTGGAAGACAAAGTTAAACATACATGAGATCTGTGAGACCATTAAGTTGATACAGCTCGTTGATCGTCGTGTTTCCCCTCTCTGTCTCCAGGTTGTTCTCGGTCAGTGAAGTCAGACGACACATTGATTTGTTGTGGGAGACGTTTCACCATCAGCGCTGTGTGCTCAGTGTCGCCACCTGCAGCCTGGAGGACGGAACAGGAAACAGGTGATCCTCTGTTTGTTCAGCCTGAAGCTCTTTGAAAAACCATCTGATTGTTTTTATATATGTTTTAATATGTTAATATTTGTTTTAATATGTTGTTTAATTATTTTAAATCACACTAAAGAAAAGAGTGAAATATAGGAAGACATATTGGAAGCTGTGGCCTCGGCCCGTCTGTATATGTGTGTGTGTATATATACACACACACACACACACACACACACACAGTATGTATAGTTTCTCTGAGCTGCTGTCTGCTGTCTGTCAGGTACCAGCTGCTGTTCAGCGCTGCCACAGATGGGAAAATTGCAGTGTGGGATTTGAGTGACACCTCCTCCTCGACCGATACTTCTCCACCAATCCCCTGCCTCGACATTCCCGCCCACCAGAGCGGCATCAACTCATTGGCTGTTTGGGCAGAGAAACTGGGACAACAAGGCGGTGGTTGCCTGGTAACTGTTGCTAGCGGAGGGGATGATGGGCAGCTGACAGTGTCCACAGTTAAGGTGCATTACCCAGAGGAGGGGGGGGGTGGGGGCAGCAGAGGATTCTCTGAGAAGCTCATTTCTTCACAAAACCAGATCCAACCTCCAGACCGGCTTCAGCTCCGCCTCCAGGGCCACGCCCACATCCCACTGGCCCACGCCGCCCCTCTGACCGCCCTGAGGCTGCTGACCCCCGGCCTCCTGGTCTCTACTTCTTCAGATCAGAGGGTCTGTCTGTGGAGGGTCTGCAGTACCGCTGTCTGCCACAGAGAGACGCTGTGCTCCCACGTAGCAGACGCCGCAGGACTCGCAGTGTGGGAGGGGCAGATGACGGACAGGGAGGAGGGAGACGAGAAGAGGAACACAGGATCTGAGCATGAGAAGGAGATTGTGATTCGGAGTCAGACCGGATCAGAACCAGAGGGTCCAGAGCAGGAGACAGGAAGTCCAACAGAGACTGAGACGGGTTGTAAAGAGAGGACAGGATGGGTGCTGGTCTGTGGTCAGGGTCTCCAGCTGCTGCGAGTCAGAGACACGGAGAGCGAAGAAGAGACGGGGACGAGAAGAGAATCACAGAATCAGAACATCTGACATTATTAATTATCTGTAAAATCACAAGGTGCAGCTGCATGAAGGAGGAAGTGCTTTTAAATAAATGAACTGAGTCATTTTTTATTAAAAGTTGTTTATTCTCCAGCTTTATTGTTAAGACAGGAAGGAACATTATAAAGAGACAGTAAACTCTTTATATTTGTCTCTGAAAATATCAAAATAACAACAATAATAATAATAATAATTGTAATATCTGCGGCTGGAAATAATCCAAAGTAAATAAAAGTCGAAGCTGTGGGAGTGACTCAGGCTTCACACACAGGAAACATTTGGAGCTCATCAAGGAAAAATAAAATCCATGGCTGTTTGAAGAGAACATTAAAAGCATCTCTGGTGTGTTGGAGCCATCTGTGGCCTCCTTCAGGGAGAAGCACCACGCTGCACAAAGATGGCTGAAATGACTGGAGTTATTTTTAATTATGTCACATCTCAGCCAGGAAATAAAACCCTTCGACGTGAAGAGGGACTCTGAAGACCGCCGTCACCAGATCTCTCCAGGAACCAAAGTCCGACCAGAACTGGGGAGATTCGTGGTTTAAATGCAGTTTATGGGTAAAAATCTCCTTCAGCAACTGATTGAACTGTTTTATTGAAGAGCCGGTATGATCACTGCATCACGGTGGATATAAGACGACACATGATATTATAAACACGTTATATACAGATCACAACTGTGGTGGTTGGAGAAGACGAATCATTTTATTTTTATTTTTGGATGTTTGAGATGCTTCATCTACTGAAATAAGATAATAAAATAATCTGCTGGGTTTCTGACCCTTTGTGTTGAAGAGACATAAACCTGTGTGTGTGTGTGTGTGTGTGTGTGTGTGCGCGCGCATGTGTGTGATGGTCAGCAATTCTTATGTTACTGAAGAAGCTAAATGAGCTGTGTGTATGCCTGCCTGCCCACGCTTACAATATTTGTGTGTGTGTGTGTGTGCGCGCGCATGTGTGTGATGGTCAGAAATTCTTATGTTACTGAAGAAGCTAAATGAGATGTGTGTATGCCTGCCTGCACACGCTTACAATATTTGTGTGTGTGTGTATGTATATGTGTGTGTGTGTGAGTGTGTGTGTGTGAGAGAGAGTGTGTGTGCGTGTGTGTGTGTGTGTATGTATATGTGTGTGTGTGTGAGTGTGTGTGTGTGAGAGAGAGTGTGTGTGTGTGTGTGTGTGTGTGTGTGTGTGTGTGTGTGTGTGGAGGTCTAGGTGGGGGTCAGAGCCCATGAAGGGGCCGACTGCAGGTATCCATGAATATTTTAATATTTTAGCCTCGTCTCGTGTTCCCTTTTGTTGAGCGCCGTCTCACCACCTGTCACTCACAGGGGAGGAAGAGGGAGGAAGAGGGAGAGCTAATGTCACCCTGCAAATGAGCGGTGAAGAGGGAAGGAGGAGGAGGGAGGGGGTGAAAGCTCCTGCCACTCACAAACAGAGAGAAGGAGGAAACAATAAACACTCCTCTCATCTTTGTTTCAGGGGAGGGAGGGAGGGAGGAGGAGGAGGAGAACACAGGAGCCACAGTATCTGTGAAACCACCACTATCACTTACAGGGGGGAGGGAGAGTGAAAGCACCTGACGAGGTAAAGCTGAGGTTGGCGAGGACGAGGGAGAAAAGGGGGGAGACAGAAATGATGTTAGATGGGTCACAGGAGAGAAAGAGGGAGGTGAAGAAATGACAGAAGAGACGAGGCAGAAAAACTAAAGGACTGAGTGAAGGAGTCAGACAGAACACAAACCAGGTTTCTGTTCTAAATGCAGTCAGTCAGTCAGTTAGTTAGTCAGTCAGTTAGTTAGTTAGTTAGTTAGTTAGTCAGTCAGTTAGTTAGACAGTCAGTCAGTTAGTCAGTTAGTTAGTTAGTTAGTCAGTTAGTTAGACAGTCAGTCAGTTAGTTAGACAGTCAGTCAGTCAGTCAGTCAGTCAGTTAGTTAGACAGTCAGTCAGTCAGTCAGTTAGTTAGTTAGTTAGTCAGTTAGTTTAGTTTGTCAGTTAGTTAGACAGTCAGTCAGTCAGTTACTTAGTCAGTTAGTCAGTCAGTCAGTCAGTTAGTTAGACAGTCAGTCAGTTAGTTAGTTAGTCAGTCAGTCAGTTACTTAGTCAGTTAGTCAGTCAGTCAGTCAGTTAGTTAGACAGTCAGTCAGTTAGTTAGTTAGTCAGTTAGTTAGTCAGTTAGTCAGTCAGTCAGTCAGTCAGTTTAGTTTGTCAGTCAGTCAGTCAGTTAGTTACTTAGTCAGTTAGTCAGTCAGTTAGTCAGTTAGTTAGTTAGTTAGTCAGTCAGTTAGTTAGTTAGTCAGTCAGTCAGCCAGTTAGTTAGTTAGTTAGTTAATCAGTCAGTTAGTTAGTTAGTCAGTCAGTCAGTCAGTCAGTCAGTCAGTTAGTCAGTCAGTTAGTCAGTTAGTTAATCAGTCAGTCAGTCAGTTAGTCAGTTAGTTAGTTAGTTAGTTAGTTAGTTAGTTAGTTAGTTAGTCAGTCAGTTAGTTAGTTAGTTAGTTAGTTAGTCAGTCAGTCAGCCAGTTAGTTAGTTAGTTAATCAGTCAGTCAGTTAGTTAGTCAGTCAGTCAGTTAGTCAGTCAGTTAGTCAGTCAGTTAGTCAGTCAGTTAGTTAGTCAGTCAGTTAGTCAGTTATTCAGTCAGTTAGTTAGTCATTCAGTTAGTTAGTCAGTTAGTTAGTCAGTCAGTTAGTTAGTTAGTCAGTCAGTTAGTCAGTCAGTCAGTTAGTCAGTCAGTTAGTTAGTCAGTTAGTTTGTCAGTTAGTTAGTCAGTCAGTCAGTTAAGTTAGTCAGTCAGTTAGTCAGTCAGTCAGTTAGTCAGTCAGTTAGTTAGTCAGTTAGTTTGTCAGTTAGTTAGTCAGTCAGTTAGTTAGTCAGTCAGTCAGTCAGTTAGTTGTTAGTTAGTGATCAGAATCAGTTTTCAAACAGGAAGTGAGTTATGGAGGCCAGCTCAAGAAATCTTCAGCATAGAGAAACTTTCCTGCATCTTCTCAACAACCCTGTGTTGTGTGTGTGTGTGTGTGTGTGTGTGTGTGTGTGTGTGTGTGTGTGTGTGTGTGTGTGTGTGTGTGTGTGTGTAGGATGTTTTTTTTGACCCAGGAGAACGAAGAATGAGAGGACGGCAGGGGCTTCACACTCATCTGACAGGTATCTACACTTTCACTCATCTCTCCATCCCGACTCTTCACTGTGTTGGTTTCCTGTCGGTTTTTTTAATTTCAGTTTATTTTATTTATGTACTTCATTTTTATTTGGTGAGACAAGACAAAGACAAGGAGGGTAATATAACAGGATATAACATGACAGCTTTTGTTATTGTTGTAATATTCTGACTTATTGAGAGAAAAGAAAAATGAAAAGAACATTTTCAGTTTAGTTTTAAAAGGTTTTAAAGCAGCTTTGCTCATTTAGTTTAGTTTTTTTTTTTTTTTAAAGTGACCAAAAGCTGTAAACAAACATGTTCACTGAGGACAGATGAACACAACAGACAAGTTGAAGACGTGTTGGTCATTGTGTATGAAATAAACAAAAGTTCGAATTTTCTCTATGATTTAGTTTATTTTAGTTTTTTAAACACACGACACACTTTCACTTAGTTTTTATAAATCCTCATTTTTATTTCTGTCTCAGTTAAAATGTTTTTGTCCTTTCATTAGCTTTAGTTAATGATAATAACTCTTCTTCAGCAGTGACGCTTTGAACTGGAAGACAAAGTTAAACATACATGAGATCTGTGAGACCATTAAGTTGATACAGCTCGTTGATCGTCGTGTTTCCCCTCTCTGTCTCCAGGTTGTGAGACGCTCAGGAGCATCATGAGCTAATAAATGCTAATATGTTCTGGTGCTTTGTAATCACATACACTGTGGCCAGTCTGAATCTGACACAAGGGTTTTAATAACTGCACTCTGGGTGTAACAGCCTGTGTGAATCTATAGTCCCAACCTCTTTGGTCCCAACCTTAATGGTTCCCTCTGAAACAAAGGTTATGTTTTCTGTTCTGCTTCTGTGTGAGCAGGAATTCTCAACAATATGTGGTGGACAGTTGGTTCATGGGATGTGGTTCTGGTTTTAGCAGGATTGTGTTAGCATGGTGACATTTGCTAACTAGAAACCAAAATTGTGGTCAAAGCCAGGGACAAGAACATGTAAGAAAAAATATCAACCAGGATTCAAACCGGTGATCTGCTGCACAGCTCAGCTCGCACAGACCCAAGGGGACCTGCACAAACCTCTCGAACTACTGCCATTTACTAAAAAAAACATTCATCATTTCAGCAAGATTATTACACCATGAGCGCCACAAGGTCCTCCTGCACACTCCTGTGTGTTTTGGTGTTTCTAGATCCAGAAATGTGGAAACAGGAGCGAGTTAAAGAAAAGGCTTTTTTTCTTCTGAACGTAGAAGTCGGCGGAGGATGCAGTTTACATGTTTTGCCACATGGTGGTGCCAAGGCACCGATTTATGACTATTACTGTGAAGCATAGCATCATGTGTTCACAAGCAGCAGCAACAAGCTGCTTCCAGGCTGGGATGTCTAATCACACTTGACATTTTTAGCTGTTTTTCGGGGCGTTTTACTGTGTGACTCTGTACATGATGAAAACACTTGAAAAAGTATCTGAGCCAAACTGATTTCTGCTCTCAGGTTTCCACACTGGTGATGTCACGAGAACGGCTGCCTCTCATTGGTTCGTCTGGGAGTAAAACAGCAGGTGATCCAAACATAACCCTCTGACCTCTCCAGGGAGTAGTGATTAAACCGTTGCTTATCAGTAGACGGGCGTCACTTTATAATGATCCCATTTTAAAACCTGATGTTTCCTCAGAGTAAAGTTTCATCGTTAAGATCAGACTGAAAAAAATCTATTTATACTACAATTAAGAATCAGTCAAATCCAACGTTTTCAAATCAACATCCAATTCTTTAACAAGTGAAAACAGTTGAACTGATTGAACCTTATTAACTTTTATTCTTCTGTTATTTGCTGCTGGCTTTTAATATCTACATGTGCTGAGAGCTTATGCAGCAGTTTTTCTGTCAAGCAAATAACTTGCCGTGAATTTCATGAACCGTTCCAGGCCTGTGTTTCATTCCTCTGGTGGTGGAGAGCTGTGTGTATATGACAGCAATAAACATTATTAATTCCTCGTATTTTCCAATGCTGATGCAGCTGTAAAATATGAGTTTGCAACAGAGAAGAAAATCCAATCCTCATCAACTGCAATATATTGGTCCAATACACTCCAGTGTATATCTGTATAAAACTACAGTATTAATCAAATCGACTGAGTTTTAAGTAATTATCAATTTCACACTGAAAATACTGCACACCTGCTGAAACTGCTGAGGATGACATCAGTCCCACAAAGCAATAAAACAAACTGGACAGCGGTGTTTCAACTTCTCTTCAAAAACAACAGGTAGTAAATAAAATCAAATAATCTGAAGCTTTCACACGTGAAATTGACAGTTTTGGATTAACGTTGAAAAACTAGCTGCGTTGTGTGATGTCAGTCGGTGCCTCTGGTATCATTTCCTGTTAGTATGAAATGAAAAAGTAGATTTACAGAATAGAAGTACATCGTGTATAATTAATATTATTAGCATCATATATAATGGAACTGAGATACAGCATTGATGCCATACTCCTACAATATAGTGTCGTCCACTTAGAGGAATTCAAGAAGTTTTCTGATCTGCCGCTTGAAGTCAGTTCATGCTGCTGT